GAAAGTACGTTTAGTGTGTTTTCTTCTTTTATTTAACGTTTTTTGTTATAATCCGCCTTATACTCTTATTTAAGAACTAGGATAATACTGTTTTGATCTTCAATGGATCCCGAAAAGGCTAAGAGACATGTCGAGTTTGTTAGTGGTCACACTGGAGGAACTGCTTTGGAGCTTATGGGATTGTTACTCATTATATACTACGCCTTCTTCATCAGGCTTGAATGTGAAAGATTGTTCTTTCGGAAACTTTCGCGTATTACGTATGTTTTATTTTGCATTAAATAACTTTTATTATGCAATTATTGATAAAGCTTGTTCGATATTTCCTTTTATGTTTTTCTATTATCAAATAAAAAGATTTATTGTGAATAAAAATATTAGGCTTTGAATTACATAATTATATATAGTATATTCCTATGCCTCACTCAAATTTGAGCTCTTTTATAATCACTTTTTATTGTCTTACTTTATTAAATCTACTTTTAAGTGCAGTTGATGCTTATAAAATTGTCACTTTCACCTTCCATTCCTTTTTCTAATCATGAAAACTTATTAAACTCTGGCTCCTCTTTAATCTTTAATACCCAACTTTGGATAAGAGGATGAAACTCTTCCAAATCAATTATATATTTGAAAAAGAAACACCTCTTTGTCCCCATGGTTCAAAATTTTAACCTTTGATTTGTACTAAAAGCTTATATGCATGATTGATTATACAGAAACTAATGGGTAAACTTTTTTTAAATCTTTATTCGTTTTAAGATGGCAGTTAAAGCGTATTTTTCTAGAATGTCGGATTTAGTTATGGATAAAGTGATGTTTCCGAGATGCAGAAACTTGGAATATCGAAACTCAATGTCCTTATTTTTTGTCATAATTTTTATCACTTAATAAGATGTAGAGTAGCCGGAGTCATACTGAGAAAATTGATCGAAGTGAACTGAGTCTGCAACAGAATTGAGGAGTATTGTTTGCTGTTGACGTAGGAATCGCTGGGTTAATTAGCTCGTGACCAATACATAGCTATTGTTTCTGCTATTTTAAGGGGGTTTAATGTCTAGTCAATAATATTTTTCCATTTCAAGTTTGATAGGTGAAAGCCTATTATGTGACTCATGTGTCTTCTTACTTTGGTCTAGTTTCCTCCCTGATACATCTTCTTTGTTCTTCCACTAATGATTCATCTAGTTTATTTAATTAAAAACATTTACCATGAACAAATCGGAGCTCTTTTTATTTTGAAATCGAGTTCTATCTGCAGTTAGGGCCTCTTTGACTTAAAATACTTCATGCATTGCGATTGTTTGTGCTTGAGTTGGTTTCAAGGAAAGTGAGCGTAGGTTTCCATCTTATCCAGTTCAAGTTGGCTAAATGTGAATGGTAACAGAATTTTAACATAGTCTCACATTCTCGTAACTACGCAGAGGCTTTAGATGCTACATTACAAGAATACTCGAATTCTACTTCATGGAAGTAAATAAGCAAGATTAGCTAACGTGCTCTCTGATGTGGACATTGTCATGCGTTTGTTGTCCATCGGTGCTCCGTCTGGGATTAATCTCACTTCCAGTTAACTGAGAGGAAAAATTCAAGTTACTTCCCAGGAATGCTCCATTATGATCATTTCGTGTTCACCAATTTAGCATCTAGATGTCTGGATGCCGGTCATCATTTAAAACAAACTAAAATATCAATTTCATTAAGTCAATCAGTTTAATAAATACTCATGATGATAATTTTGCCTTGCCAATCCTGAGTAAATATAAAGCGATTTCGTATTCCAGAGATCATGTCTCCACGTATCTTCCTCTTATAGAACTCTTATCATCGACTTCTTCCTCATTCTCCTGCAGACTGTTCTCCCCTGCACACTGCTCTCCAATTACCTCCTCGAGTATCACTTTCTTCTTTTCTTCATTGCCGTTATCTTCATGCTCAAAGCCCCCAAGCACCCACCCAGCATTCCAATCCAAGATGGTTACATAGCTTTTCGTCGGATTATTCGAGTTGTTGTTCTTCTTTACACAACTATCTGCATCTACGGTGTCGATCTGCCCGTCTTTCCAAGACGCTACGCCAAAACGGAGGTCTCTGGTGTATCTTTGATGGATGTGGGTGTGGGAATGATTGTGGTAGCCATTGGGCTCTCTAACGCGGCCTTTCTTGACGTCGCACAGACCAAATCGAGAAGCAAGATTGTGAGCACTCTGATGAAGGCTTCACTTCCTTGCCTCCTACTGGGAATGATCCGAACTGTAACTGTTAAGGCTTTGGGATATCCGGATCATGAAACGGAGTATGGACAGCACTGGAACTTCTTTTTCACTCTCGCTTTTATCCGGGTGAGTTTTATGCAGCAAAGATATCACATTCTTTATTGACATTTGAGTCACTGATTTGCTACTTGACCTGATTTGAGAAAACTTTAGCTAACGCTCATCTTGAGTAAACGAATGGTAGTATGGAGTCCCCGTATTGAATATCCCTGTTTTTTCATTCCTTTTATTGCAAAGACCCAATCAGTGCGGTGTGACCTCCGACTTCTCAAACTGGCACGCTAACTGAACTATGTGGCATTACACTGGCTCATAGTTTCAGCGTTTCCTCTTATGGGGAAATATCTCTACAAATGCAATTTGGGAGGTTTTTTTAGGAGTTCAAAAAAAGGCAACTTGGTAGAGGTGTTTTCCTGCAATCCCACCTGTTTGTGCTCGTGTGGTGGAAACGGTAGTGACAGAAATCTACGTACATGAATATTGAATACGATCCTGCCATTTGAAATAAATAAATAAATAAATATTGAATACGATCCAAACCCTATGCAACGTAAATACGTTTGAATAAATGACCCGCAACACCGCTATCACATTAGGATTCATGCAGAATTATTTAAGGTTTATCCTCATTCGAATCAGTTCATGTAAAAGATAAAATTAATAGCTTTTATTTTTGACAATACTTCGGGGATGGGGGAGGGGTGTTTTTACTTATCGGTCAAGAACTATGTGCTATGTCACTATGCCAAGTTCAACAAACCTGATTGGTGTACGAGACAAACGTAATGTCCAATTTCGTAAATACCTATCACTCACGTTCATCACCGATGTTGCACTGACTGAATAAGTCTAGAAAAAAATTGCATTTTATTATTCCACTTTACTTTAACTGATGTTGATTTACTAAAGTCACAAAAGCAAAGAATCAAATTCACAACTCTCCTTGAATCATTCATGATAGGTTACCAAATAGCGACTTTCCTCGCGTGTTCTGGTGTTCACCAATCTTCTGCCTCGTTATTCCCATTTTGATTGGTATTCTTTCGTTTTCGATGCAGTAGTTCCATAAGAGAGAATTATGTAGATTAGATTTTTGAGCAATCGTTGAGCATTCGTACATATTTCTACATATTTTATTAGTGTGGGGGCATTCTTGCGACATACACTTTCTCTGGAATGCGCGATTTCGACTCCATGACCATTCACTTCGCTCTCTGTGTGGCGCTGGCCTCCATTCAGCAATTCCTTCTCCTCCCAATGGCCGATCACATCTTTCCTCATATCACTCAGCCCGAACTCTCCCCCCGTCCCTCCCCAACTGGAAGCTTCGATCTCTGGTGGTTAGTTCAGGCTAACGCTGAGGGCATTGTCTCCCTGCCTGGTTATCTCAGTCTCTACTTCTACGCAACCGCTCTCGGCATTGCTGTACGTCTGCATCTCGAACCGCCGAAAGGAAACGGCCGGTCGGAGGAAAAATTGAAGTTTCTTTGTAGACAAGGCAACGAAGAATGGTATGTCAATTAGAGTTGGTATTCACGGATAAAGCGGATTGTGATTTGCTTTGATGATAAGTAGTTGTGGTAAGATAAAATCTCTGATCGCTAAATTTAGAAGTACAAAAATAGAAGAAGACGAAAGATTGGACTGAGTCATAACGGTTGGTAATCATACCAGTTAGTAGATTTTAGTGGAATTCGGTGGACAATGAGGTTGTTGTATTTTGAAAATGTTTAGTCGAAATAAACATTATTCCTGCCCCATCGCCCATTAAGGTCTTGGAACAAGTGTAAGCCGAATTTTAAAAATCACTGGTTGGTCGCATTAACTGCTCTCATTTTCTCATACATTATGTGAATCAGGCTAAGATCTGCGGCGGGAGTTGGGGGGGG